ATTGTAATTGGTTTCTAGCTAAAGATAAACGAGCACAGTGTTTATTATGCAGTATAACTTATTGTATAGTCTGTTTAGAAAAATTAAACATGACACATAAGATAACATTAGAAAATAACAGAGAGGATCATAGTATAGAAAGCAGAGAATTACATTTAACAATTAGAGACTTAGAATTACAAGTAAGGGAACTTAAGTTAAAAATATGAGAGACAGAAACTAGGACTAGTTTTGACATAGAATGTTTAGAACTAGAAAATAGACAGCTTAAACAGCAGCTAGAACAATTTCACAATAAATACCTTTTAAAAGATAAATTGATTGAAGAACTTATGAATTGTTTAGAATTAGTCAACCTATTTGATTCTCAACCCTTTAGTCAATACTCTCAAGCATATTCAGATAATTTATACTTACCATTTAACTACCCTGTTATACCCAAGCCAAATTTAGTTGAAATCTCTTGTGTAATTAAATTTGTGGACAAAACCCTTAGTATAGATGCCATGATAGATACAGGAGCCAGTAAATCATATATTGAACAACTCGTAGTTCCACCAGGATGGAGCACAGCTTTGACAACCCCAACCTTCGTCAGTATAGCTGATGGCACTAAACAGACATATACACATCGCATCAATGGCGCATAGATTAGTTTTCATCATCTAGGTTCTCAAGATCAACATGTAGAATGGTTACCTTTACCTCAAGTTTGGATTGTAAATACTAGACAAAATCATCCTTTCATTTTAGGACTTAACTTTATACTTAGTCTTCAAGGTGGCATGTTTATCAGCCAACACAACATTAGTTTTTTCAAGCGAACTGTACATACACCCACAGCATATTCCCTTAGCACCATAGCCCATTCATCAGAGTTGCGTGCGAAGCGTGGTGGTACCATAAAACGCACTGTACATACACCTATAGCATATGCCCTTAGCACTATAGCCCATTCATCAGAGTTGCGTGCAAAGCATGGTGGTACCATAGGAGTAGATTCAGTTCCCGCTAGTTTTTTATTTCCTAGTAGAAACATTTTTCCTGTGTTAGCCCAAAAGTATATACCTGATGAGATAGCAAATACTTCTTTAAAAAATTTAGACATAGAAAATTATGAATTAGAAGACTTAGAAAAAAAATGAGACTATTGGAACTTAGAAGATTTTCAAAAAACAGTTAACCTAGAATTATTTTTTGCAAAAATAGGAAAATTAAAGAAAAAACCAGTATACAGAAGAACATAAAATGATTTAGATGAAATAATAAGATTAGTTGAAACAACAGAGATTTTAGGAAAACAGCTCATGAAATATTAGGAAAGAAATAAAGTTTTAGCCAGCTTAGATATAAAAAAATAAAGATTATAGGATTACCTCAACACAAATAGATCATACGCCAGCAGATATAGAAGAATTTAGAACACAGATTAAAGAGTTACTAGATTTAGGAGTAATTAGACCTAGTAATAGTCCGCATAGAAGCGCTGCATTTATGGTTAGAAATCATACAGAGATAAAAAGAGAAAAAGCTAGAATGGTTATAAATTATAAAAGATTAAATGACAACACAGAAGATGATAAATACAATATACCAGATAAAGATCAGCTCATAAACAGAATACAGACAGCAAAGATATTTAGCAAATTTGAATGTAAGTCCGGATTTTGGCAGATAAAAATGGAAAAGGAAAGCATACCTTGGACAGCCTTTTGTTGCCTACAGGGACATTATGAGTGGCTAGTCATGCCTTTTGGACTAAAAAATGCACCTTCCATATTTCAGCATAAAATGGATAGTATATTTAATAAATATAGTTTTATACTGGTATACATAGATGACATATTAGTATTCAATCCAGATAAAAATAATCATATAGATCATTTATATATAACATTAGAAGAATTCATAAATAATGGAATAATAATTAGCAAGAAAAAGATGGTATTAAATAAGCCTCATATAGAATTTTTAGGAATGGAGTTAGGAGATGAAAAAATTAGGTTAAAACCTCACATAGTTAAGAAAATTTTAAATTATCCAGATAAATTAGAAGATACAAAACAACTTTAATTATTTTTAGGAATTTTAAATTATGCACGAATGTATATTCCCAACCTTAGTAAAATAATAGGACCCCTATATAGTAAGACCACACCTACATGACAAAAATATTTTAATCAACAAGATATAACTCTAGTTAGAAAAATTAAAGACATTTGTAAAAATTTACCAAACCTACAACTTCCCTTGGAATCAGAATATATAGTCGTAGAAACAGACGCAAGTCAATTAGGATGGGGAACAATATTATTAGCTAAACCTAGTAAGTATGATAGTAAAAATAAAGAACGCATTTGTAGATATAGTTCTGGAAAATTTAAAGAAAAAGACACAACCATGACCAACCTGGATTTTGAAATATTAGGAGTAGTATATGCAATAAACAAATTTAGATTATTTTTGCACAAACCTTTTACAATTAGGACAGACTGTGAAGCTATAGTTAGATTTCATAATAAACTTAATGAGCGAAAATTAAGTACTAGAAGATGGGCAAAATTTTTAGATTGTATAGTAAGACAAGGGTATAGAGTAGAGTTTGAACATATTAAAGAGAGTGATAATAGGTTAACAGATTGGTTAAGTAGGAAAATTTATCTAGAAAAAGTAAATAACCAGTTTAATTTTTGTGCAGATGATGGAGAACAGCAAAACCATGAATTTTGGGGGATTTTCTCTTCCCATTCATGAAGGCAGAAACAAGTTCAGACCATTAACAAAAATTGAGCTAGACTCGGTTCAACAATGTCTTTTAGATAACCTTTGGACCAGTCATAGCCACCCAGCTAAACATCTGTCAGCCCTAAACTCTCTTAGTATATATTTTTCAAAAATCCAAAATAAACCTTTGTCTAAAAGTTTTTCTTTCTATATAGTAGCTAAAGGAACCAAGCCTGGTATTTACCATGACTGAATAGAAGTTAAACCCTTAGTTAAAAAATTTCCCATACCACAGTATAAAGGTTTTTATGATTTTGAGTCAGCCAGTACCTATGCCCGAAGACAAATAGGAACCAGTTACTTATCAGTCAAATAGCTAAAGATTACCTGGACACATTGAGCAAGATGAGGTCAATCATTCTTGCTACTAATGGAGTTCCAGTTAGCCAGATAATTGGAAGGAGTAGTACTGGAAGTAGTAGTTCTAACCGTCAGATAGATTCTCAAAATCCTTTCTAGATGTGCTGACATTGTGAAGGCCTTACTAGAAATTTTAAGAAAATTATAGATAAAGGCAAAAGGGTCAGTGAAGAGCTAAACCAGCTCCGAGACGAAGAAAAACAATTGAGAGCCACCATTCAAACCCTAACCATCCAGCTTAAAAAATTAGCTCCAAGAAAAACAACTGCCCCCTTTCCTGACCAAGAAATCAGACAACTCACCAGTGAGCAATTTGAACAATTGAGTGCTAGAATGTATTTCTTCAGACATTCTATCATTCGATCTTTTTGTGAGAAAAGCCAAGTAATAGAGGACCTAAAACCCTATATATACACCTTAGCCGAAGATAGCAGAAATAGTGAGCTAGTCACCATACAGCAGTTTCTTCAAGTCCTCTCCATAGCAGGAGTTGAATGCCCTGGCATAGCTTATCAATGGACCTATACCTATGAAGATGAAGAGCAGCCCTACTTAGAAGAAGAAAAATGCAATAAGAGGTCAGAGCATTTTGGCCGATGTCAGTGTAATTTAGATTTCAGCATCTGCCTTTGCCAGATAAATGTAGCAACATTCAAGCCATTGGAGATAGAGATTAGGGGCAAAACGCGTTATCTAACAGCCTCACAATTGTTAAATTACGGCTTTGTCTCCAGAATAATTTTCTCAGATCCAAATCAGACAGATAGCTTTGGGAATAAACTTGCTCATGCCATACTTTGTGTAATGGAGGAGCATCATCCGTATGTAGAAGCATTAAGAGATAGCAGACTACCAGAGTGGAAAGGAATATAGTGCAATCCAGCCAAGCATAAAATGTACCTCAGAGGAACCTCGACTTTCCCAGGATACCTAGGACTTCTCAATAGGAGACCCTGGCCATGCAGAAGATTTCCACTCAGAGAACAGCTCAATAAATGGAGGAAATTTGCTAACAATCCTCTGTTAGCATATAATGAAAATTATGGACGTTTAGTCTGTGAAGATAGAAATCAAAAGATATTTTGTAATTTAGCTATCCTAGGATATCCCTTCAGCAAAGAGACATTCGTCGATGAAAGTCAGTATCCCAACTATCAGCATAATGTCTCTCATGAGTCACCAGTAATGGGAGAAAATGACAAAAAATGGCACGATGAGCCACCCATGAGGATGGATATGACTTTTACAACCAACTCTCAGCAGCAAACCTGGACGATCTCTCAAATAGAATGTATGGATAAAAAATAAAAATAAAAATAAAAAACACAAGTTTGTGGCTACAGCGAGCTAATGCAGGACGTCTATGACTCTCAAACCATGGTTGAAATGCTGTGCTATTATTATTATAATAAATAAATATACCATGAAATTTGCTAAAAATACATATGGTTGTTTGTTCTTTGAAAATTATATTTTGTTCCTTTAAATTTTTAATTGAATAAGAAATAATTTATTTTATTAATAAATTTTTAAGTCAATTAATAATTCTTGATTTATATCAATTAAAAATTTATTTAATTTTATTATTATATAGGAGAATAGTTTTAATTTTTTTTTATTAATTATGTTGAATTAAGAATTCTGACATGACCATATTTGTAATTTCTAAAATTATAGGAATAATTTATATTTTAAATAAAATTCAGAGGGTGTATTTATAATTTATCCTATAAATCATTATCACTATATTGATTATAACGCGGAACTCCCACAACAAAAATTAATCACACAATCAAAGGCAATATTCTCGCATAAGTGGGAAACCCACACAAAAAAAAAAATAAAAAAAAAAATAATGAGACTTATCTCATATTGTATTCATTTTGTAATTGATTTCTATGTCTTATCAAACATTTGTTGTGTGGTGGCCGCTGGGGGTGTGATGGGACTACCTCCCACCCTCTTCCAAGCAAGACCACTTAAAACACATGGTCAACTATACAAGAAGAAGAAGAAGAAGAAGAAGAAGAGGAGGAGGCTATAATAGATTGTATTAGCTGTTCCAATGAAAAATACATAAAAACAAACAAATGAATGGTGTTGAAACCATCCAATGTATTTAAACAAGGAATCAAGACTTAAATTGAATCAATTTGTTTCAAGTTATGCACCGTCACAAACTGTTTCATTTTACCCCTTCTCCCCGGAGGCAAGTGGCGATGGCGCAAGACTAGGCATAGGTGTCTCCTGCTGTTGATCACTAGAAGAATGAGAATAATGAATTGTATCATTGCTAGATTCTCCATTTCTTGGTCCGCAATTTGACCTGAAAGTTAATTTTGCAGCAATGGATTATAAATGAAGCTCAAAGAAATTGGCACTTGGTCTGAAACAATAGCCTCTTTTCAACATGCAATTTTAATCATGATATTTGGAATAAATATTGACCCTATTTGGTTATGTTTTTGGTTTTCATGATTTTGAAAACGAAATCAATGAAAAGTTTATCATAGTTTCACTTTGATTTACAATCATTTCAAAGTATTCATAGTTACCGCTGGCGAAAGTTTGAGGGCTGGCTCATGCGCAAGGAGGGTCTTGGACACCACCCAGTGAAGTGAGTCACATTCTCAGATAAATCTGTACTGGACTGCATACATATAAATATAACATGCCATCATCAGATTGATTATTGATTCAGCAAAATAAGATTACAAATTCAAAGATTGAAATAATATTTTCTAGCTATCATCTCAAAAGATTCTCAATTATAGGGATAGTTTTGTTACTTTTCAGCCATGAAGCAGAATGCAGAAAATACAAAAAAGTAGGAATAAAAACCACGCACTGATTCATGTACGAACACTGATTAAAAGCAACAATAATAGTGGTAGCAGTAGCAGAAGCAATAGGAGGATTTTGGTTGTAGAAGTTTATGGTGTACTTACAGTTTTCTTACTGGAACTTTGCACCTGACAGAGCTCAATGTTCCGGGCACCACGGCTCCTTTTTTCATTGACCAGAACAATTGCGCATTTGCACGTATAATATAGAAGTAGCACACCAAGAGAAAAAATCAATATAAATTCTATCACGATTGCCGATCCTAGAACTGTACCACACATAATGAAACAAACGTGAGTTGACTAATACTATATATTTTGGCACAACTAAAGACAAATTGTTGAGAAAAATCATGAAAAGACTTATAGAAACAAGGTCACCGGTAAAGAATATGTTTAAGATTCTAACTGTGAGTTTCAACTTACAATGAGCTACCAATGATTTCATTGGTCTTTTTCTCATGAGATTTATGTTAGCCTCAGCAAAAAGAGGCATCGACATCTTCTCCGCACAATCTGGATAGCACCCATAGTTTCCCATATCATTTATTTTCACCGTTAAAACAGCACCATATCCTTCACCCTGTTCATGAAACCCAATTAATTTACAAGAAAGTATAATCCTAAAATGTATTTGACATCCCAATTACAGCCCCCTTTGACAGAGCAGTTTGTTTCCTAGTATGTATTTGATTTGGCATAGGCCTACGGTAAAACATGATGAGTACAACAATATTGAACGAACATTATTCTTTTGCTATCACCACTGATGTACTAAATCGTTACTTACCCGTTAATGATGCAATGAACTGTAAAAGGAGAGTAAAAGGGGGATAAAAAAAGAAAAAAAAGAGCTTCACGATTAATAAAAAAAAGTGAACTAAGATCCACGATCATATTGTAGCAGTTCACTCACATTATACAACAGTTGCTGCATTATACTGTTGCAATCATTAACTGTTCCCCGCAATCTAATGCCTTTTGCTTCAACCATAAAATGTTGCGAGATGGTAACAAATGTCTGAAGGGGCTGCCATTGATAACTGTTCTTTAACTTCAGCTCAGTTGTACTGATGAGCTCTGCAGGTAGTTCGGTAGAAAAAAATCCAGAATTCACTTCCAGAGAAAACATGACCAGAAAGTGAGACTTGTTCCCTGAAAATCAACCAGAGAATATTAGGACTAGGTCTCATGAATATAATTTTAAAAAATACCCTAATAGAATTTATCCACTTATGATATAAACATTTCAAAGAGGATATTTGCTTCAAATAGTATGGATTTCAGAGTAAGCAGCAAGTGGTATTCCAGTTCCTATTACTAGTGCCCCAGAGACTCATGTTCCATGTAATACAAAGTTGGAGCTTGATCGGGTCCAATAATGGACGCAATAACCTTATTTTTGAAATTTAATAATAGGGAATATTACTTTGATATTTCACACTTGACAGTTTCCACCTCAATTTGAAGTAGCTCACTTAAGTAACAGAAGCATTTGAATATTGATACTACATGATCATAACCACTTTCCTAGCAAGAGATACCCATTTATGTAATCACCATGAAGACACTCTCTTAATCACCTCATTATATTGTCACGCTCAATTCATATTGACTGTCAATTTATTGTTGGCATATTAATTTCAAAATTTTGCAGTACGTTTCCTTTCATTTCGTGTCGGCACGTGTTAAAAAATATTCATCTCCCAAGTAATATGCTAAGAGACTCAAATAAAATTACCAGGGTAGTTAAAAAGATCTGGATCCCCAATGGAGAAATCAAACTTATCTCTTTGCCTATCAAATATCAGAAGTCCTTGATTATTCTTCTTCTCCAAGATAATAAAATCTGGGACGTTAATGAATGGAGGATCATTGATTGGTTCCACAAAAATTGGGACATCCAAATCATTTACTCCGTTTCTGTTCATGGTAGAGACATGGATCGTATCATCACCACAAAAGTTCTCATTTCTGATCAAAGGAACCAAATAGAACAAGTCACTGAGCATACTTGAGATAGTAAACAAATACAATTTGAAAACATGAGAGAGATAGAAATAGGGAGAGAGCTAATGAACAGACTTGAAAATGGTAAGAAGAAGTGAAACATACTTGTATTAAATGGAAAGAAGAGGTGAGACATACCTCAAACAATTTTTTCTCTTATGATAAATTATTCCAAGTTTCTTTCTTTTTTCTTGTTCCCTGGTAATCCTATTTATTTTGTCAAACAGTGCACATTTCCAGGAAAGCAAGAGCATTCAACAGTTTCAAGAATATGCATTAAGCTTTTTGCAGCATTTGTGTCATAAATATGTTGTCTAAACTTCCTAACATTCAATCCCATGTATTATGGCTGATCTTGTAAACGCAAGTTTCCTCTTAGATTCACAAGAAAAAGTTGTTCAAAAAAGAAACACTCCACTAACCCAATCTTGCTCTTACTACATCAGCATCTCTTCTCTAATCTCCCCCATCCTAAGAATAATAGAGCCTACATAGTGAATTCTCTCTCAACAATGTTGAGTTGGATCAATATCATAAAAATCAGTACTTATGCAGGTAAGCTATCTAATATCAATTGATTGTCAAGATTTGGAGGGGATTTCACAAGAGGCTTATAAAGGACAAATTAACTGAATCACGAATGCTCAAAAACATACTAGGATGCCAACACCATTCTATCCAAGACCAATAAAATATATCATTTAGTGAGGAATACCCAAGGTATTGGATTGACTGAAGGGCGAAATTGATCATTTCTAAACAGCCCTCTAATATTAGATCTGTAGCCTTTCCATCCCCTTTTCTTACAGAAAGTTCACTCCACATTGGCTGCCAAAACTGTATCTGCATAGGAGAGAGAAAGACGGTTCCAGAGCGTGCAATAAGAGTAACAGAAATCGTTTCCATCAAATCCGAATATATTATCTCAATGCCAGGGAAACCACTGCCAATAGAGCAAATTTTGATAATAGAAAAAAAAATGGAGGAAAAAAAAAAAAGAAAAAGAAAAAGTCCTGGTCAAAGGAAATTCTAAAAAAACATGCCTGAATTAAATTTCTAATTTTCCAAATAAGTTCAAAGTATAGAGTGTGTTACCCAAATCTGGGACTAATTACATCTTCAGTTGCTTGCAGCTGACTTGGAAAGGAAACAAACTGTGGTGGGATGCTGTGGACAGATATGTTTACAGCACCAGAGGCAAGATTGGAATTTGAATCAGATATAGTGTACAAAAAAGAATCATTCCCAACAAATCCTTTATATGGTGTATATCTTAAGAGCTGTCCATACTGTAGTAGTGAACCATGACCTGGCTGCCAGGATATGACATGTCGGAGTAAATATACTAAGAATCATAATTAACAAGTTCACTTGTAAAAGAACAGCTGCTTCTAGCTTCTAATCTTACTTTTGAAAATTCGACTATGCGTGCATTGCCACCAGCAAAGTAATCATTTTCTGTGGCATTAAAACCAATTGACTCATCCTCCCAAACAGATACTGAATCGTCATAGGCTCTAGGAAAATATTCACCTGATGGGCATAAAAAATAAGTCGATCATTAAAAGAGCTTAAACTGGAACTAAAGTATATAGATCTAATATTCTGAAAGGATTAAAACATACAAGTACGTACAACATCATGTAAGGATAGGAAATTTTTTTTGTGTATTTTCTTGTCTACAATTCAAATAATTAACATTCTGGATATGAGCATTATATATGCAGCCAAGCGAAAGAATGTTAATGAACAATATGATGGTCAATCAAACTATTGGCATGTCACTAGGCCATAGATGATAAGATTCAAATGCTATGGCGTACTTCATTATTCTGTTTCGTAGATGATAAAGAGTTTTTGTGTTATGGTGTTTCAATTGTAAAAGCTTGGGTGTGTGGCATGAGAACATAAGGTGCGCAGCTACTTCATAAAATAATGACAGAGGATAGGTCTTCCCCAGTCCCCATTTCCCAACCTATCACTAAGTTAGGTGGCCCCAACAATGGTCCAAATATGTTAATGTTTCTATCAATTCCTGAGGAGCTTAAATTATGCATAAAAATTACTCCCTCCATCTCATTTTGTTGGTCCACCTTTCCATTTTAGTCTATCCCAAAAGGTGTGTCCACTTTCTATTTTGGGATACTAAATTTTGTTAGATTTCCAAAATTGCCCCTTATAAATCATTATAAACACATTTTAAAATTCAAATAGAAGGGCAATGGTGGGAAAAATATTTCAAAATTTGAATTAAAATGTAATGATTGCATGTCTCCTTAATAAGTTAGATTTTCTATAATGGACAAACAAATTGGGACAGAGGGAGTAGCTAAAAAACATAAGCATGCTGGTGATCTGCTCAAACAGCATCAACCAGATTCACATTCTTCTATCACACAGCCCAACATTCAAGAAGTGACGTAGGTTTATCATTTCTTACAAGTGGAGGATGCAAATATCATAAATTTCATTGCCATTTGAACTTACTACTGTACACATTCACCCCAAAAGGACAGGGCAGGAAATGCTTGCCATCAAACGAAGCACACATCTCGTAAGTGCCAACATGCTTTGCCAGATAGCAGCCAGTGTATAAACCATCATTGTCATTGACAAAAATCCATGTAGAGAAACCAGATTTGTTAATTGAGGCAATCTCTAGTTGTAGCTTTGACTGTTGTAACAATACAGGGTTAGAAAAGGAATCCACGAGCTGCACAACTATTTCATTTTTTATCATCTTTGGCACTTTTGGTGCAAATTTTACTACTCCAGAAAGGGATGTATTAACCTCACCTGCAGAAAATTAATGAACCTATCACGGGTATGACAATAATATAGGAGACAAATGTATATGCAAATGCAAGAACATGCACTCATCATTAGGGGATTTCAACCTTCCAAAGGAATAATAACAACAATTAAGAAGAGCATGCAAAGATATGAAATATTTGAGTATGGAGATATATGCAATCATAATTAATAATTCCAGCTAATCTGAGATACAAGAATAAAAGACTTGTTCCAATTAGTAAAAGTTCATTATCTTTAACTCATTAATATCCTCTTAAATGTAGCTCAAGGCAACAATGACCCATTGTGTTTTATTTTGTGAAACATTTCAGGGCAACATTTACAAATAGCCTCTGACCTTGGCCAAATCATCCAATCATATGAGATTGTATGATAATTAAACAACCTTATAATTAGGCAGCGTACATATATTGAACAATGCTCTATTTCACGATCCATTTTTAAGATCCAAGGTACACCTAGAGCATTTGTTCCAACCTAAACCATAAACACCTGAATACCTAAATCTCACGCAAAACTCAGGCCTTTCCTCAAGCCCAAAGGACCAAGGTAAAATGCCACCATAATTGCAATTACTAAACCTGTGAAGCATACTTAGTCCAGCCATCTAAATCATGGACTTCTCACAATGTGATAAATTCGGTCTCAAATGGTTTTGCTGCCATCAAAGATATAAAGTAACCGTTCAATATCTCAAATATATATATATATATAAAATATGACATGATATATAAAAGTACCTGCACTTACTTCCTTTCGGAATGGATGACCTCCATTCAGGGGAATATTTCCACAAAATACAGTAATATCATATATCCCACTCTTAATTGGTGTGTAAATGACGTCAAAATAGCTAGCCCGGATTTTCCAGTGCTCAATGGACTAAATGAAGAACAAAGTGTTATCAGTATCTGAGTCATATATGTTTGAAGGAAATACATACATGTACCACTTACATTGTTAACTGGGTTAACAGATGGTGCAGAAGCAGTTTCCATATGAATGACAATATCCTTGGTCGGATCTCTAGTGAACCAACTACCTGTTTTGTAGATCAATCTTGTCACCGTCAAAGTAACAAAAAAAATAATTGTCAGATGGAAACAACATAATAATTGTTAATGTTTGTACCATTCACATTCTGAATTGGATATATGCTTGATTGTACATAATAGGAATCAATTTCCCGCATTATCTGTACTTGAAGCTTTTCTAACTCAACTGGAGCAGGATACTGATATGCATCTTTCAAAACAACTGAAAACCTTGCAACTTCGCCAGCAACAGAATCATTTAAACCAGATCCGTTCACAATACTTTTCATTCCATCACAATAACCTATTCAGATTCAAGTATTCAATCATTAAAGTAGAAACTGAAGAGGAGAGAGATGATAATCACTATAAAGCAGATTTTTCAATTCAATCAGGATCAGCAATGCCCGTTGATTCAAGATGAATAAAGAGGCACACCTATAAAGACGGTAAAATTATATGGCATATTGGATATGGTTTTATTCTGCTCCTTATCAGAAATCACGAGCATGAAGTTTCCTGGTTCCTCTAGGCTAAAAGAAAACACCTGAATACCCGGTACCACTTCTTTGGAGCTCAAATCTGCTACAGGCATGAACAAATTTATCCCCTTTTCAATAACTTCAACATCAAATTGATATAGCCCTGGAACAAGGTTCCCATATTGATCCCGCTGGTGTATAAATATTTCCATCTTAGAAAACAATTGAAAGAAATTTGTTTCAATATTCCAGTTTGCCACACAATTAGAGACATCTAACGCTCCTGTTAAAAGCAACTTGAAGAATCAGATCACTGAGAATAAAGACACTCAAAATATGGAACAAATAAGATTGACACCCAAAATAATTTCATGAAATGGGATCCAAATTATTTACATTATTGGTCTTCCAGCAATGTATAACATGAGAAACAGAATACAACTCATGAATTTTTTTCTTCTTGTTTGAATAGAACAAGTGTCCCTGGTAAAGAACATTAGAAAAGAAGTAGACTACACATGAAACTACATGACTGGAAAATAGCATGCAAAAAAGAAGTTAAACCTGGACATTTGATTAATTAAATTATACTGCAATCAAACAGAAAAGAAAATTTCATGTCCTCACACTGCAAATTAATATTGTGTGTGATATTAATATATTCATCTTATTAACTTCAGTGTCTTGCAATACATATCATATATAAGATTCCAAGTAATCACCTGGATTCACCTTGAATGGCAGAGGAGAGCCATTCAAGCTTTGGTTTTTATCCTCAACATGAAGTAAGAGGGATCCAGCTGAGGCTGCAGTGAACTCAAAGCTGAGATAGCCAACGTCATTCCATCCCATGAATGCAATGTTGAGCACACTCGCAATGGAACCATTTACATAAGATGCAGACACTGTAAAATTGAAAGTACTTTGCCCTTCACTAGCTGAAGAGACATTATTCCTAAATGCATCTTTAGGAATTATCAGAACTGTGGCTTTAGTCCCAGCCACAAACTCATTCATCTCAGCCTTCCAGGAAACCACACAAGCCATCGGATACATTTTCCCTTCAATCAGACAGCAGCATTTGCGTTAAGAACTATTTTAAAATCCAACCAACAAAACCAAATTCCACAACAGAATTTCATTGAACCTGGTTTAGATATAAAAGCAGACAACTCAAAACATATTTTGGAGCTTTGTCAAACATTTTTTTATTTTTTATTTTTTATAAAGAATTCCCGTAATCCAATTAGTTTAAAACTACAAATCCAGTAAATAATTGCTGAATGGTTTTCAAATTCAACCCATCTTCTTCATTCATCAAACAACCCAAAAGTTTAGATTTAAAATTGCAAACACCACTAGTGATTTAAACAATTGAGCATCAAAGAAGCAAAAAAAATAGCACTGGGGAGAGAGTCAATCATTCAATTGTCATAATAGGGACTTGTGATACGAACCTGGTGTGACTCGAAAATGTAGCGACGAGTCTAGTACATTGAAATGGTCATCAGTAACAAGCACATTAAACAACCCAACCATAATCGGAACGAACGAAATCCTCCAATCACTGGGGTTACTATCAAAATTAAAAGAAACCCCAGAAATCAAAGAACTATTGCCCATCTTCTCATTCACCGTAATATTAGGATTAAAACCATATTTGTACTTGTCTCTCTCATAATTTCCCAACAATTTAACCTTTATAGTTGCTATATCACCAGCCAAAAATGTGTCTCTGTCATCCAACCAACCAAAAGAAAACTTGGGGATTGGTACATTTTCTGCAAAATTCAAAATCACTCATGCCATCAAAACACAATGACAAATATATATGTATGTGTGTGTATTGGAAGGGTAGTGAGAAATACCTGAATCTGCGAGTTTGGAGAGAGAAAGGGTCAATAGTGAAATAAGTGTGCATAAGAACATGTGAGACTCCATCCTTGAGAGAGAGAGAAGAATAGGTTGATACTGTGTAGAAATGGGAATGATTTGAATAGAATTTCTGGAGGGGTGGTTAAGGCCACGTGGAGAGATGGTTGAAGTGGCAGTTTCTTAACTGCTTGTAATTATATTTATTTTTGTTTTTGTAGGGTTTAAATTTTTTATTTTCTAGTAATATTTGCATCCCTAAAAGTATAATTTTTTTTTATTTTTTTATCTTTTTTAGGTGACCGCATATCTCTATTCTTTTACATATATTTTTGTAAAAAATTAAAAAATATAATTATTAAAACCTTTTTTTGCACTTTTTTTTTTATTCAAATCTTTCTGTGCACTGATAATTGTGATAGTTGGAGTGATTGTGGTGATTTGTTATGGCTGTGAGAGTATCTTGATAACAATAATAATGTGGCAGCATTTACGAGGCTCTAATTTGATTTAATTTTTTTTTTTAATGTAAAATTTTGAGATTTAATTTGTTATTAAGGTCAAATTCTAGAATTCTTTTTAAAAAAATTCCCAAATTGCTTTCATCTGAATTGGCTCACTTTTCATTGAACCCTTTTTTTTTTCCTTTTTCCTTTTTTGTTCTTGATTTTCATTTTTATTGTATCAAATATTAAAAAATGTTTAAAATATTTTTTATCATATACAATGAATTTTAATGATATTTTTATAATTAATCTTAAGTGTACTATTTTAAAAGATAAGTCAAAAAATTAGACCCAAAATTTTAAGTTTAATGATATGACAATCAATTAGGATATCTAAAGTAATACTCTCTCATATTTTCTTAAATTATCAATCAATAATATTACTTACACATTATTAAATTCAAAAAATTGATTTAAAAAATTGATTTATATATTATTTTCCATTTTAAAATGTAAGTGACTATTACAACTGCATCATTCCCTATAAAAAAAAAAATTATTTAACATCACTTTTCTTCTCACTATATGTAATTTATTTTATTTTATATTTTGCCTTTTGGTTAAGCCACATCATCAATTTTACTCGTAAAAAATAAAAAACAACTAAAAATGGGTTCACAAGTACCATTTTAAATATAACCCAATTCTTATGTATCGTGGAATGATCCTCTAGATTATTTAATTGGTGTGACTCGAAAATGTAGCGACAAGTCTAGATCATTGAAATGGTCATCAGTAACAAACGCATTAAACAACCCAACCATAATCGGAACCAACGAAATCCTCTAATCACTGGGTTTATTATCAAAATTAAAAGAAACCCCATAAATCAAAGAACTATTTCCCATCTTCTCATTCACCACTTTGCTTGGCTACAGTTTTCCAAAAACACTTTTCAGAAAATTTTACTTTTTTATTTTCTGTATTTTTTTGTTTTTACTAAATTTTTTTAATATTTTAAGCAATTTTTTTACTTTTTAGACATACTTAACATAAATATACCTAAAAAGTAAAAACAATTGTGAAAAAAAACCTTTTAAAAATTCACTAAATACCAAAAATATAAAAAAAAATACGAGAATTCAATATATTTTTTATATTTTTATGTATTTATTAATTTTTTAAAATATTTTTTCACAAATTTTTTACTTTTTAAATACATCTAAGTAAGGTGCATCTAAAAAAGTAAAAAAAAATGTTTAAAATTTTAAAAATATTCACTAAAAACAAAAAAAAATACGAAAACCAAAAAATTCAATTTTCAAAAAATTTAATCCAAAAAACTCAAACCAAACATACACAATGGTTCTCCATTTTTTTCCTTTTTCTTTTCTTTTTTTTTTTTTTTTTAAAATTTGCTTTCCCCTCTTAGCATCACATCTAGGTTGAATCTACTGTTTCTTCATCTATTTGTAAATTACCATCTGGAAAATTATTTGAATTTTTTTCTTAAAGCCTCTCCATCCCTCCATCTGTCTCTCCCAACCGAACATAAGAGTTTAATTATTTTAAAAGCTTGTGTATCAACACAACATCTGAATGAGTTTGGTGAGAAACAAAAAATAAAAGATGAACAATGTTGCGTAATTATGAACTATACATCAAATGCACACCCAAACAAAAAGAACCATTAAAGCAGAGGCTCTAAAATGTGTTTAGCCTCTGTTTGAAATTGTGAAAGCAAGAGCACTGAAAGCCACCAGACCTGTAGTCTGGAATACCACATCAACATTTTACAATTCCTATCCCAAATATTCTACAGTTCCCTCCAAAGTAACCACACTCTTTGTGGACTAATATACAGTTTGTAATTTAGTATAATAATTCTAAATCCTTCTAACCACCAAATTTAGAAGGAAAGCATAAAAATAAAAACAATCAACAAAACAATCCAAAGACAATGGTGCAAATTAACCAAAATGAAAAGATTAAAATGACAAAGAAAGTGAATTTATATATGCCCTAAAAGTATCAAAATAAAGAAAGAACAACCACTGCCTATACTGATTTGAAGATCATTTCTTTCTGTGAATCTTGATACTCAACAACAACAACCACATGAATCAACATTAGGTTCCTGAATCTTCAAAATTACGATCAATCAATTTCTTAGTCAATTCTTCAAAGTTGATTATGCAGTTAGCTAGTCACACGAGGAGTGCAATAAATTTTACAAGCCTATGAAAATCCAATAAGTACAACAAAATAATATATGCATATATTGACTCCAATAGCGTGAACAGATTTTATGGACATATATGAAAATTACGAGCCAAAACATTTCACACAGTTACAGGAAAAATCACAAAAGCTGATTTGTAGTTCACCAAAAATAAATGAACTTTTGGGTATCAGATAAGGAGGAATAAAAGCCATAACAGAAAACAAACAAAAAACATGGCAGTTTAATAAAAAATTAAAAAGAGAGTAAAAAACAGCCCAAAAACAAGTTAAACAAAAATAAAAAATCTCATGTTTTCTCATTACCTTGAGAAAGTCTCCTGCATAAGTAGTGTTTCT